AAAATGAAAACGAATTTAAGTCACTACTTAAAACTCACCTGTTTCATTAATTGCTTTATTTCATAATATTACTGTGAAGCGCATCGAGATGTGCTATGTGATGCGCTATATAAGAAATGTGTTATTATTATTATTACTGAAAGGCCACTGTATTAAAATCTGTTCCCAACAGATATGTCTGGCAGACATATCCAAGGGGGAAGTCTTTTACGAACTACGCTAGGCATACTGGAAAACGTACCACTGGTGGTCTAGCAAGCGCCATTGCAGCGAAGTACAAGAAGAGAGAAGCTGACAGCATCATTGTGTTCTACGTCTTGGAAACCGGCAATCAGAATGAGAGACGTGTGTCTCTGCACCGGTCTTTTCAAGATTTTCCAGCCAACCCGGCTGTTTCAATTTGTTTCAGTATGATATTAACGGAGGGTTAGGAGAGCCTTTGACACATTTATCAAAACAATCCATCTGATTGGAAACATCATTGAAATGTAATATAGGAACAAAAATAAGGCCTATGACTACAGTTGAAAATAACTTTTAATATTGACGTACCTGCAAATTTCATGCAATGTTTTACACTTCGTTCTTCACTTATCTTTTGAAGAAGACTGACATAGTATATAGTTTAAAGTTATACTTATTTCACGATCTGTCGTATAGGAGTATCCTGGGACCAGCAAATTAAGTGTTCAATGTCAGGAAATACTTTCCGAGAATATAAGTTCCCGAAAATATCCTTGTTTGCAGACATTGAACCTGATATTTAATAACCAACTCATTGCAGTGTCCTCATTTCTCAGATTATATTGCCTTTGTTTGGTAGCATGTTTTTTTTAATGCCACCGGGCCAGGTACGTCGGACAGAAGATTGCGTCTCCTGTTTTCATCCATGCAAGCATTACCCAGCATTTAAAATCATTTCAGTCACGAGCCCAGAACAGGTTACCTAGGCCTATTCGGGGGAAGAATCTGATTGTGCAGGAGTGCGGGCAACAGCGCACGCCAGAAGATGAGACAATCTCTTAAACACCATTCAAGTTTGACATCTGGTAAAACAAGTTTCCTCTTGTTTTGTGTTTTCTTGCACTTCAATAATATATTTAAAACTCTTAGGAGCACTGAAACGCCAGACAAAACATCAACATTAAAAATCCTTAACCAACGAACACGATTTAAACAAATGTAACCGTCCATTATTGAGGTCTTTGATCTAGACTAGACTCGGGTAACGATACAAGTCCAGTGGTTTTAGTTTTGAATTGAAAATGGAACGATTAACCTCGACGCATGAAAATGAGAGTTGTGACATATTGAAGCCATGCACAATTAAAAATATTAAATGAAGGATATGCTGGTAGTACCTTGGACTTTTTTTTTTATTTCTATCTGTAAATACTTCGTTACCTCATTATGTTTTAGTTCTATTATTTCTGAATGTTCCCAAGAATATCTTCGTTTTGCGGCTAACGAGTGCTATTTGCCTTTTTTTCTCCAGTTGGAACGCGTTCATCTGTGCATCAGAAAAAAAACATTCCCACGAACGACCCAAACACGGGCGAAATTTTTTTCTAAGACGTGTCTTATTTTGTCGTAATGCTAAACCGGCCAACAGTTGACGTTTGGAGGCGAGACAATCTCTTTCTACAACTTGAGCATGGAAATACTGAACAAAAAACCTAAACAGAGTGTGGCATTTCGAACTTTCGTTGAAGTATACAGCCTTTGATCCACACTTCAGGAGCGACTCATCAAGTCAAGTACTTTTATCTTTGAAACAAAATCAAGAATTGTGGTGTACTACAGAGACACAGGCCTACAGATAAAGAACATTAACGTTGTTCAGGACTACTGTTTTGTTTGTTTTTGGTTTTTTCCCTTAGTCAATTTTTTGTTCACTGACCAGTTCTTTTGTTCTATTTAAATGAACTGCATGACAAGGTCCTTTTATTGGATTGTAATTGTCTTGCTTGAACGCGTGGCTGTGGCTTGAAGTGTAAGTGACACACGCTATTAACAGGAAACCACGGTTCGCTTGCTACAAGCGGCGAGATGGCATGATTCCAGGGTAGAGACTCGTGCAGTCGTTTTCATTCGTCGACAAGCCAGCAATAATAGCTACACTGCGCTGTGAAACTGGAGAATTACTACGCGTGCGACAAGTCTACTGAATACGGATTGCTCCATTATCCGATTTCTTGAAGAAACATAGCTCCGTTGATTTTTCATCTTATGCCCCCCCTAATGTTTACAACTTGATGAAGGGATAAAACATCTAACCGTATTCCATGTGAACTGAATTCATCAATTTAACACATAGAAAAACATTCCGTGTGGAACAAGGGGGGGGGGGGCTACTTGGAGGGGACAGAATTACTTGAATGTGAAAAATATTAAAGTGCAAGAAAACACAAATCACGAGAAAAACTTATTTTCCAGATGTTAACCTTGAAGGGTGTTAAAGAGATTGTCTCATCTTCTGGCGTGCGCTATTGCCCGCTCTCCCGCACAATCAGATTCCACCCTCAAACAGGTGACCTGTTTTGCGCTCGTGAGTGAAATGAGTTTAAATGCCGGGTGATCTTTGCTTGAGCGGATGAAAACAGCAGACACAGTTTTGTTTCCGACGTACCTGGCCCGGTGGCATAAAAAGGAAAACCTGTTACCAAACGAATACAATGCACCTTGAGGAATGAGGACACTGCAATTAGTTGATTATTAAATATCAGGTTCAATGCCTGCAAACAAGGATATTCTTGGGAACTTGACACACTTTACATCCAATAATTACCAGTGACATTGAACACTTAATTGGAAATTCATTGCTGGTCCCAACAGACTCCGTTGTTTCAGATCGTAAGATTAGTACATTTTTAAACTACATACTATATCAGTCGTGTTCTAAAGGTAAGTGAAGAGCGAGGTGCAGAACATTGCAGTAAATTTGCTGGTACGTTAGTATTAAAAGTTATTTTCAGCTGTAGTGATAGGCCTAATTTTCGTTCCTATATTACCATTTCAATGATATTTCCAATCAGATGGATTGTTTTGATAAGTGTGTCAATGGCTCTCATAACCCTCTGTTAATATCACCCTGAAACAAATTGAAACAACTGGGTTGGCTGGAAAATCTTTAAAAGACCGGTGCAGAGACACATGTCTCTCATTCTGATTGCCGGTTTCCAAGACGTATACCACGATGATGCTGTCGGTTTCTCTCATCCTGTCCTTCGCTGCAATGGCGCTTGCTGGACCACCAGTGGTACGTTTTCCATTATGCCTAGCGTAGTTCGTAAAAGAACACCCCCTTTGATATGCCTGCCAGACATATCTTTTTGGGAGAGATTTTTATATAGTTGACTTTCAGTGACGTTAAGTCATAAAAACAGCAGCTCTTATGCTGGGAATGGTTTGCCTCGTAGAATGGAGTATTCAGTATACCACTGAATGAATTTTTTTTCCATTGCGGTAACTGTGAAACATTCGTTGTATGGAACCCCTCAATAAATCCTCTCCAAGGAGGCCAAGCCAAAGACCATTTATGGTGCTGTCTTTTCTCACTCCATCGTGAAATTGAGACACAAAATTGCTGCGTTCCAGTCAATTTTGGCTTCAAACAATATTCTTTAATGCCTCTAATAATTGCTCTTATTGCTTGAAAGCACATTTAATTTTCATCAGCAGCACTTGTGATTTTAAAATGAGTTCGTCAGTAGCGAGGAGAACTGGGGATCTGTGTTTCCTTTTTAGTAGTTAGTCATTTTGTCTTATGTTCTTGGTTACTATAATGAGCACTTTCCGCTGGACCCCAAAATAGCCCCTGAGCGATTCTTTTGCATTGTTCTCCGTTTCAATCAATGGCACGTGATTTGCGATATTCCTATCGGGAGTGAAGTGGGTTTTATTAGAATAGTGAGACCATTTAATGTTGTTATTGCAGATAAAACCTTGCTTTTGTTGAGCAAGAAGTACATTTTATATTCGGCAAAGAACAAAATCTTTCAAGAAAGATCTGTTACGATAATATCCTTGTGAGTTTTTATCTACAGCCAAACCACAGGTTCTCTAAGGATGAACTTCAGCGCTACTTTGGTGTTGACAGCGACGACAAAGGTGAGTTCTCTTTTCCAAGACTAAAGAACAAATGTTTAAAAGCACTTTTACGAAACACAGACCCTGTGTTCTATTTGGACATACTGGATTAACATGACATGCAATTTCGTCTGACCCACCATATTTAGCCCCTGAGTACGAGATAGTATATCCGGAATATGTGACTGCTGACACCAAGCGCAGTGTGGATCGTAGTGCCATTGCAGCATCGTACCTCGACGTTTACGTCGATGCATTCGGTGAGACCCTTCATATGACGGTGGAGCACGACGACAGTGGCATTAAAACTGGACTCGAGGCCGAGTACTTCACTGATGAGGGCATCATCAAGGAGTTTGTCCAAACTGACTGTATTTACACCGGCAAAGTCGTCGGGGAAGGTGATTCTCTCGTGTCTGTCACCACTTGCGAGGGTTTGGTAAGTCCATTAGCGCTTTTCCGCATTTTCGTTGTATTCTGTGTTTAAATTATAAACGAACGTGTATTTTCATAATATTCAGAAAAAATGACTGACGCATTGTTGAAAACCTTGTGCACTTCATCAAGGTGCTGACATTTTTGGAAATCTTACATGAACAACATTAAGACGTTCAAATATTTAAAGGAAATTTTCAATCAATTTTGAAAATGACCAAAAAGATCGAATTTATTCACGACAGCACAGACACTAAAAATTGTTCTCTGTCGTTTTCTCAAAGATGGCGATTGCGTATCATACCTCTGGGCCGACATACATTGAACCACTGGATGATGAGCACGCCCACAAGAGGGACATTGGACGTGGTCTCCCCCACGTTGCTTACAAGGATAAACCGCAAAATGGTGCCTTTTGCCCTGTTAGAAGTGAGTGCAATGTTTGGTTCCCATAAGCAATCTTTTTGTTAGAGCTTTTGCTTTGTCTTGACGTATATCACCACAGGTAGCAGTAACACATCAGCTTCTTAGCCTTATAAAAGATCAAAAATAAATGTTTGGTCCAGAATTTAGTGACTGTTTAACAGTAACAAATAGGTTTAATAAAGTCGATGATTAGCAAAACCATTTAGATCCCTAAGCCCACGCCTTTTAAGTAGCAGTTATCCAGTGAAAGTCTTCCCGTAGGCCTAAGTATGCGCCGTATGGTGTTCGACCTCAGTAGTTACACGTGTACCGGTAGCTGGTCTGAGCCTTGGCCTTATGTAGTCATTTATACTATGACCAAGTTCTGTTTTAACGACTGAATATTAAGAGACCAAACCCAGAATCATTGTGGTAATTGTGTGGTAAGTGTGCTCGTTGGTTCTATATTGCTAGGTTATTCTGTCTTCCTCTAGAACAAACAAAAGGGTAGAAGGGGGTTTTCCCCACAGAATGCATAATGAATGAACTCCGTCAAATGCGAATCCGTTTTCACAACACCTTCCACGTTGAGTCCTCCAGCTATCGCTTCATATTATCAATAAAAGACAACAGGGATATCCAGCTTTGGATAGCGATTTCTTTTCTTTCTTTTTGTTTTGTTTTTTGGTTTTTTTTCAGCAGCGTTTTGAGAATAGGAACCCAATCCCGGCAAAATTGAAAGCAAGGCGTATAGCAAAGGTGTCAGTGACCAATCACACATACCGTGTGAGTGTGATGTCGCGCCAATCATTTCTATTAGTTATTCATGTAATAAATCGAAATATAGGTTTAACCAAAGCATTGCAAACTGTAACTAGAATTACAATGAGTCCCAAAATTACGTGTAACCCTGAATCATTTTGTTTCTTAATTTAACGGTTTGGAACTTCGGGTTTCAGGAAGCTTTATCAATTCGGATGCTTCTTAATTCCGATGCATTGTCGATTTGGATGAAATGCAACTTCAGATGAAATGCACTTAGGGAAATTTCATTTGCATTTCAAAAACATGTCAAGTCTGTAAAGTTTCACTGAATCTCGAAAACATGTCAGGACTGAAATATCTTATTCGGTCCTGGGAAATGACTTGTTACAGATAACATCTAAAACCGGGTTTAATTTTTAAGAAAAAGCATTTTGACACTATGTCTACTTTGTGAAGACAGCTTTTGCACATTATAATTACATTTTACATGCGACTCCTTTTTGCACTCTCCCCGTCCTCAAAAACTAATATTTTTAAGCACATGCACCGCCAGCCCAACTTTGCAACATTGATTGGGGATACAAATTTCTAAGATGCTTGTGCAGTAAATATCCTAAGTATAATTCATATTGTTTTCTTTATCAAGCATTTTAACAGCAGAGCCAAGTTATGAAATGTTAGGTAAGCTAGCAAGCAATGTCAGGGTGACAAGGAAAAACATCGTCCTTATTCCCCTGGTGGTTTTTCTGAAACAGAATGGCTCCATGTTGTGATGGGAAAGAAAAAACAGAAGAAGCACATGCCGAGAGTGAATTAAACGTAGTCTCATTTCGAGCGTTGCCCTTCTACCGATTGAATTACGTAGCAAAGTACATTACAACAAAAAAGGGGTAAACTGCAGAAGAAAGTATTTTCTCGTTTTGAGATGAAATATGATGTCTCCCCCCCCCAAATGAAACCTTTATGGTTATGCCACGCAGTTACAGTAGTCTTTGCAGTATAAGGGTACTTTCTAACAAAATTCTCTGGTCAGTATTGCCTAATATTAAAAAAGGTTAACTTACATTCAGTTTAAAACACAATGATAGCGGATAATTGATAAAATAGACATTATTCGGTAACTGTCAACTTTTGGAGAGTTGATTGTAAACACAATGTTGGTTTAATAGAGATTAATATTCGACAATTCTTGATCAACAAGGTTCAGAGTGCATTGAAGGAGATGTCAAGCCATCGGGGACCAAGTATCTAAAGCTTGCTTTTGTTGGCGATGTTCTGTTGTACAATCTACGCGGAAATTCCACCCTGACCGCTCTGACAACGGTCTTCAACGCGGTAAGACTTCTATCTGACCCATATCATCTCTACAATACTAATTAAATGTTTTTTGGAATCTTGGGATCTTCCTTTGATAGTGACCAATCCTGTAAAGGCAAATACGTTCTGCCTCCTCAAGCTTTTAGACTTCACGTTGCTCCTTTTTTACTCACGATATTGTTTTAGATTTGGAATTTTGTAGTTTCAATGTCAGCTAATTTTGGACAAACAGTTCTCTAAGATTTTCAAAGATATATCATTCAGGCCCTTGGTATATCAGTGAAAGACAATTACAAAAAGCAGATATCACGTCTAATATGGAAGCTGGATTTAGATAGAAAAACAGCCGAAACAGTTTCAACCTTTGACTTCAATTTTGAAACAGGTCAAGAATATCCTTCAACTCGATTCACTGGCTGGAAAAAACCTCGTTCCTAGACTGGTGCATATGATAATCATCACTTCAGGCAAGGTACGCATAGAAAATATCAATTTTTCTTAACGCATGTAGATCCTCCTGTTGAATATTAAATACCTGTTTGATCATACAATGTTTCATTTCAGCAGTGAGTGTATCGAATACACACGTAATGAGGCAAAAATGATGTTTCTCTTGATAAGAGAAAAAACAGCAGGCAGGATCCAGACAGAGTCTACAGTCAAATATAACTATATCAGAAACACCAACGAAAAATGTGGAATAGGATATTAACATACCACCTTGCTATGGAAGCCAAATCCTAGCCAGCTCAGTGTTAAAGTACTAGCTGGCAAACATCTCTTTTCTTCACAGCCTGAATACGACACCAGTTGGAATCCGTATCGCTATCTACCAAGCGCTGCGGAATGGCTGGAGACGAAAAATTACCCGTCTTCTGATGATCGTCACTGGGACAATGCTGCTATATTTAGCGGGTAACTTGCTGAATTACTGGTCAGCTTAAGTTATTTAAACCGTGTGTAAATAAAGCGTGAATTATTTGGGTAAATGAATGATCTTTTCCCACTGCAAAAACATTGCAAATCCCTACATGGTTTAGGTTTTGGGGAACTCTAGGCGTATAGGCCCTTAAAACGCCCATAGGTGGGGCGGGTTAAACCCCAGGCCTGCTCAAAATTATAATTCTTCCTACTCGTGCTTGTTTTGCACCCTTGCAGAATGCCCTTCATTTACGATTTCCTTGGCCTAGCATATATTGGCGCTTGTGACAGCAAAGATGCAGCTTCTGTTTCGAGATTCATCAGCTTTGACGAGGCCGCCACCACGGCTGCTCATGAGATTGGACACAAGTAAGCTCCTTTTAGAAGGTCTGCCAGCATTTGATGACCTCATCATCACATGAGGTCTATAATTGCCTAAGTCACTTCCCTTTCAAGATATCTGCAAGGTTTGAACTCAGTTGCACATATACTTCAGGTGATGTAAAGTTTTAAATAGTACACATTTAATGTTTCTTGACTTGTCAACTGATGACGTCATTATCACATGAGGTCAATATTTGTCTAAAGCACTTCCTTTCCAAGTTATCAGCAAGGTTTCAACCCATTCAGACATGCACTTCAAGAAATACATCGCTTAGAAGCGTGTAACTTAAATGTCACGTGACATGATTATCTGATGACGCCTGCATCACATGAGGTCAGATTCGTGTATAACACTTCCTTTTCTAAACACCTGCCAAGTTTCAACCCAACCAGACACGCACTTAAGGAGATATATTATTTTAAAGGATGCACCTTTAATGTAACATGACTTGTCACCTGATGACGTCATCATCACATGAGGTCAACATTCGTCTAAATCACTCCCTTTTCAAGATATCTGTAAGGTTTGAATCCAATTGGACATTTACTTCAGGAGATATAGAATTTGAAATAGGGCACTTTTAATGTCACGTGATTTGTAACCTGATGACGTCATCATGACGTGAGATCAATATTCGTCTAAACCACCTCTCTTTCAAGATATCTGCAAGGTACGAGCCCAATTGCACATATACTCTTCAGGAGATTTAGTTTCATATAGTGCACGTTTAATGTCATGTGCCATGATCATTTCATGACGTCATCATCACATGACTTTAACTTTCATCTGTAACGCTTCTCTTTCTGGTAAATACCTACCAAGTTTCAACCCAATCGGAAAAGCCCATTAAGATATAGAGTACTTCAAAGGATGCACCTTAAATGTCACGTGACTCGTCTGCTGACAACATTGTTATTACATGAGGTCAGTCTTCGTTTTCGAACCTTCCCTTCCTAACTACCTGCAAGGTTTCAACCCAATCAGACACATGAGGTCAACATTCGTCTAAATCACTCCCTTTTCAAGATATCTTCAAGGTTTGAACCCAATTGGACATTTACTTCAGGAGATTTTGAAATAGAATTGGAAATAGGGCACCTTTAATGTCATGTGATTTGTAACCTGATGACGTCATCATGACGTGAGATCAATATTCGTCTAAACCACCTCTCTTTCAAGATATCTGCAAGGTACGAGCCCAATTGCACGTATACTCTTCAGGAGATTTAGTTTCATATAGTGCACGCTTAGTGTCATGTGACATGATCATTTCATGAGGTGTAAATATGTAAGGTGTATTTTTGTCGTTGGCGCTTCATATGGGTGAAGAAGTAGACCAGTTACGCACTTGGTGCAATAGAATCCAACGCTTTACCTATCATATTATAGGCAATATGTCCTTTTTCCTATTACAGTTGATTTTCTACAGAATTTCGAAGAGTAAATATACTTTTTGTCATAACTTCCGTTCTGATGACCTCTCCGGCCCAAATTTTACACAAATGATAACAGGGTAAAGATTACCATCCACATCAATTTTCAGACGATTCTGACAAACCCTGTCACAGACATCTATTCCAATTCATTTTTCAGAATTTTAAACCTGTCGCTAGAGGGCGCTCGACAATTACGTGACGTCTTCAGAACATGAGGTGAAGAATACTATACCTCGACCAACTAACACCGTGGAAAGCAACTTGATACCTATTACATGTACCACTTTTAATTAAACAATAAGCCCACTTACGGTTTCGACCAGAAGGAAGGGCCAAGTGATTTGACACACACGAGATGAATCGAAGGCGAAATTTTACTGCGGCATTTGCCATAAACAGAATGTTGTGGGAAGCCTCAGTTGATTTTATATGATTTTTAATATTTAACGTAATGTTAAATATTAAAATATTAATAATAAATCACTTTAAACGTCATCATGACGTCATTATTTCAGTTCTATCTTTGCTTCAGGTCTTTCCTGGTGTAGCTTTGGTGACCAACGAAGATTGCTAAGGTACCAAAATGGTGCCTCGAAAACGTGTACAAAGACAGTGGACTGAAATTAATATTCAAATTTCCATTGTAAATCACTTGATCATGTCATCGTGACTCCATTCGTCTTGAACCAACTATGCTTAAGGGTCCTTTGTTGATCAAAGTTTAATGAATTCGAAGATCCAAAGTTTTAAGGGACGAAAACGTGTACAAATTATATGGGCTTTTGGCAGACGTGAAAGAAAAACAAGAGGTCTGTGTTTGTACAACCGAACAGAGGGCTTTTCGGTCAATTCAAATCAGTCCTATCAGATGAACAACACAATTTTGATATTTTGAATGCTGGGTTTAGGCCTACGCGGAATAGATTGAAGATAGTAACCTCAGCCGAAGCTTCAGAACCGCCCAGTCATTAAGAACGATAACAGTCTGTAGAAGTCACGTGTACTGCATTTACATAGAAAAAAATATGACAAATTACTGGATATTTTTACTCTTGAGTATTTGTTATCAAATGAAAGGGAAAGTTTCCCCAGTTTTCTCTTTCGTTTTTACAATAATTCCCGGCTGAAGTTAAGAGTCCCCCAATAGGATGGATAAAAACGCGTTTTGAACAACGTGTGAAAAAAACCTATGGAGAAAAATTTAATATTCAAATTCCATATTAAATCCTCTTATGATGTCATTGTGAATAACTTATTCTAAGACCACCCTCAGATGACTGGGGAGGGGGTCTAAAGGTCTGCCAGATCTGAAGTCAATACGGTGTATAAAACTGTCGAAGTCCCGTCAGAAATAAGTCTGCATAAAATCTATGGAGAAAAACTCCACCTTTAAATTCTTGTCACGGGATTTGTGTCAGAATAGAGAATTTTTCCCAAATATCCTGGATATATGTGGAATTGATCAAAGAAGAAAAATTTGAGAAAAAATCACATGATCATTTCATCACTACATGAGTGTTCCAGGACCATCTATGCATAGGGCCCTTCAGTGATGTAAGTTTGAGGGTGATCCATACATGCAAATAGACTAAAATGATGGATGGAAAACGTGTACAGAGTCAATAGAACAAAATAAATATTGAAAAATCAATAAAAAAATCACGTGATGGCGTCATCATGACGTCGTTATTTTGATATAATACTTCGATAAGGGCTCTTACTAGATGATACTTCGGTGACAATTCAATTTTGCAAATTTGCAAAAAACAGTTATTTGAAAAACGTGTACAAAGTCAATGGGACGAAAAATCAGTAATAAATCACATGATGCCATCCTGATGTCATTGATCTAGGAAAATTTATGCATACGGGCCTTTTATTGGTATAAATTTAGTGAAGATCCAAAGTACTTAGGCACCAAAGTTGAGGATGGAAGAAACGTCCACAAATTGAATGAGCTTTTGGGAGAAGGGAAGATGACGAAGAAGCCGGGGAAAACAAATCAGAGCAAAAGGGATTGCCATTTAAGCAACTTGCGAAAAAGTAAAACAAAGATCACAAGAAAAAGAATGCCTTATTTCAAAATGCTAGAAAACTAAAAAAGGAACAAAAAGAATGCCATTTTTGCAAAATGCGAAAAAGACCCCCACCCAAAACAATAGAACAGAAGTAATGCCCTTTTTTTGCAAAATTGCAAAAATGGAGAAAACAAACAGAGCAGAAAAAATGCCTTTTCCCCAAAACTGCCAAAAAAAATCTCTTCCGGTTTCTTTCACGTTCCTGGTAGTTCCAATTTCTTAAGAAATCGATGGTTTAATTAGTCCTCATTAGCCCTCTTTAGACTGCTTCAAGATTGTACCAGTGGCCCGAAACTAAAAAGATGCATACAATTCTCATATCACTCACACTAAGTGAAAATTAACAGTAGCAAAGGAAAGGCTGCTCTTGGTCCGAAAAGTTGCTTCGCTGAAATTAGGTAAATCATTTTAATAGCTTTAAAAGTTTTTCACATACACTTTTATTGAACCCCAGGAAGGTATTAAAAAAATGTGGCAAAAACAAAGTGTAGCGACTCTTAGATTTAAAACTCAAAGTGACATCTTTAAGTGCCGATATCCCACTGCATTAGCCAGCAAGACTAGGGCGCTTAGGGGATAGTGTTCATTAAATCCCTTATCGCAAAATGTAAATTTCCACTATCTTGTTTATATTTTTTGTCACGTCAGTCTGGGCATGTGTCACGACAACGAGGGAAATAGTTGTTTGCCTTTTGGTCACGTCATGGCCCCCTACGAGAATCAGATCGAACCCATATGGTCCTCATGCAGTAGACGTTACTACAACAGGTTTGTCGAGTAAGTTGACTTAAGCTAATTGGCTTAGCCTCATAAACAGGCGTGAAGGGGAACCAAAGAATTATTTTCAAATAACCTTTTTGCTACGTTGTGGTGGTTTTTTACACGCTTTTGAAATATTTTGCCTGCGTTGTTATTACTTTTGGCCTTTCGTTGGCAGTGCCATGGTTCCTATTGTGCCCCCTCCGGTATGCCTTTAGGTATGCTTGTCGTAAAAAGAAATAGGCAACAAAAAACAGTGGCTGACATGTACCCTCACAAAAAAGTATCGTAACCCCCCCATGATTCCTTTGGATTATGGTGTACCTACGTCCCAGCCGAATAAGAGGGTGCCTTTCAAATTAAACCTCTAGGGAAAGGTGCTTTAATATCTTCATTTTTAGGAACCCTTAAGGCTTTCTTTAACTAACGGAATATAGGAGAATGAACTGACCTAATTTATTCATGATGATTATGTCGACAGCACGAACACTTGTTATAACGACCCCTAGATCACGTGATCGGAATGCCAAGTGTACATCATTGAAAAACTACGCAACGGCTTGAAAAGACAGAATCCAACTAGCTTTTGAATACTTATTAGATTAGAGCATTATTTATTTGCTAATTAGTTGCATCAATTTGAAAGGCATATGTATATCTTCGTGCCGAAGTTTCCTCAATTCAGGTTTTGTGTATTTGAGTCAAGATTTAACCTTAGGTTTCAAAACATTTCATTTAGACCTCGTACCTTTCAAAGTTGGTTAAATTACTTCTCAATTTGCAAAGGGTACGCATGAATAGTTAAATTTGTTTGTTTTTTATTTGTTTTTGTTTAGTTCATCTAGGATTTCTATTATTAACGCTAAAAAGATACTGATCGGGAACAGCCAATATGGTGACGATCACCAACGCTGTCTCTTGGCCATTTACCACTAGAAACAAACCGATTGGAAAGTCACACTCCTTACTTTTGGCATGGGACTGCGTAATAATCCTTGAATATCCTTGGAGAAAGTGAATGGCAGCCTCAATCAATGTCCCAAAGTGTCTCCGTTGAAAGAACGTATTTCAGCGCCCTCTCCGGATTCAGTCATAATTGCCCAATTGATCTTTGTCCAATCACGTTGCTCCCCCACAAATCCTTTCTTAATGACTCCTTGTCACCCTGTACTTTAGTTATTAAATTAGTAGGTTAATTACAAATACCATCTGTGCGTGGATTATGAAAGTGGTACCTTTTGGTTGATCTAAATATGACATTTTTGGGTTTTCTTGTTATTATCATTGTTAGATTGGGGGTTGTAATGCATATCATAATGTACATGTCCCATTATACATGTATGTATTCACAATCGCAGGGGCATACATTTGCATGACCCAATTGGGGTTTCTTTGGTAAATTAGTAGTTATTTAATTTTTGTTGAGGAGTGTTCTGTGTTTGCTTTGGGCCTTCAACCATTTATTTAGGTTCATATAGATATGATAACACACAATTAATGTCAACATTTATAACCGCATCATATTTTCTGAGTAACTCTCTTTTATTGACCACAGTGTAGACCACAGTAGTAAGGGTCATGACCAGATAAACATATCATTCCAGCCCGTCAACCTTTTGGCCTCCGATTCCTTTTCAGTCAATGTGTAAAATATTCCCTGATATTGAATTTTCTTTTCGATAATAAAAGAAATTTTGTTCTCTTTATAAGCATTGGTTGGTCCATCGTGGTTTGAAAATTATTTTAGTTTGAAATATAATATCTGTTGACGGTCACTGATTTCTTTCTGGTGTGCATAGTAAAAGGAGTCTGCAAACAGGTAATGCTAATCCCAGAAAAAAAGGCTAAAAGGTGGTAATTCATTAAATCCATTGTAGCCTATATGGTACAACGTGTGTCACACGTCACCAGACGACATTAATTGCGACGTACAAACTCTGTGCTGTTTCTGGAATGTTCGTTACGCCAAAACACGGCGATTGGACGAGCATGGCTATCATGAGCGCTGGTATCCATGTCGACCAAGTCCTTGCGCACAAGTTGTAACTGTCTGACTTTACCGTGCTTGAACGCGTGGCTGTGGCTTGAAGCATAAGTGACCAGAAACCACGGTTCGTATGCTACAAGCGGCGAGAAGGCATGATGCTAGGGAAGAAATTCGTGCAGTCGTTTTCCTCCCTTGATGAGTCAGCAATGATAGCTACACCATGCCGTGAGACTTGAGAATTACTACGCATGCGAGACGTCTGCAAAATACGGATTGCTCCATTATCCGATTTCTTGAAGAAACAGAGCTCGGTTGATTTTTCATCTCCTGCCCCCCCCCATTTTTACAACTTGATAAAGGGCTAAAAAATCTAACTGTATTTCATGTGGACTGAATTTATCAATTTTACACAAAATAAAACTTCCTTATGGCACACCGGAGGGGGGCGGGAGAGCAAACTTACTGGAGGAGACAGACTTTCGGCGCACTCTAAGAGTGCGAGACAATGGTTACACGAAGCATCATGGTCAAGAACACAATGGTGCTGTGTGAACGGTAGATGTGCAGAATACAGCAGTTGTCTATGAGAAAGCTCTATATGAGATGGCAGACGAGGTAATTTGCACCATCTTGACAAACTTTGGCCATTTAACACCAAACGACAGACCCACGGTTTTAATGAGATAATGGAAACCCTGAGTACCCTGGGATCCCTTCACACTGACACCATTAGGAATTAATAGAAGACCTGTTTTAACAAATAAGTTTTTCAATAATGTCTTAAAAGTGGCCAAGCTGTCAGCCCCTCTAATGTGTATGGGAACAGCGAAACAAAGGTCCGGTCGCAAAGTGTAATGTTAGTGCGTTGAGAGAGGATTCCAACGGAGTAAGATATTAAGACAACTACGAAGAATGTAGTGAGAAGAGGTCTTCTTTACAGTAAGTAGGCTAAGATAGTTTGGAGACAAACCAAGGAAGCATTAATATGTCAGCAATAATATTTTAAAATTAATTCCTCACTGGAAGCCAATTCAGCATAAACAGCAATGGTGAAACATGACAAAACCTCTACAACTTGTAAACCAGGTAGACTATATAAAAGACTGGTACAGTAGTCAAATGGGCTAAAAATGAAAGCATGGATCTATGTTTTAGTGCATCTAGTGGTTAGATATTTTCTAATGAGTCTGATGTAAAAAATCCGCATACCAATGACACATGGGTAGACTAGACATGCTTAAAATATTCTTAAAACTAAGTACCTAAATTACTTGTAATGGGAACAGGAGTAAAATAGTCTGACTACTTCTGGTCAAAGGAATACCTCTAATGATATGGTTACCTCATACTAAAGCCATCCTTCAGATCAAATAGAGAAGCGGTGACATTGGGCACCCCTGACGAATGCCTTTGGTAACAGTAAAAGGTTCGGTAATTTGTAAACCAAGATCGAATTAGCGGCTTTATTGTACATAATTTTAACTTACTCGTTCCAATTTTACTCAAAACTCCAAACATATTACTCTTTTGTATTCGATCAAAAGCTTTCTCTTGATCGATAGTTAACATAGCGCCTTGTTCATCTTCATTATTGACATAATAAATAATGTCTCAGAGGATCTTCAGATTGTCTTGAACATTTCTCCCTGCCAATCCGCATGAGTGATTGTTGCCGATGATGACAGGCATTAGTTTTTTATGCGATAACAAACCATTTTCGAAATTATTTATAAGCTACGTTTAAAAGACTGGTAAGTCTCCAATTTTCAAATAATTCCTTTCTTCTCGATTCTTAAAAGAATATATGAGTAATGTAACGAAAGAGGGGTAGGCATGAATGCCAGTCTAAGTCATGAATTATTAAGCATTGCGTTGACCAACCAGCGTTGCGTAGAGCACTAGGTCTGGGCGCTTGCGGCGTGCTTAGAGCGCGCACAATCAGTTAGTGAGTTTCGCTGCTGGGTCGCACAGTGGCAGGATCGTGGAGGACGCTGTGTACCATTCTGTGCTGTGACTGCGAGGTTTAGCGTGGACGCTGCACCAGGGGCGCTGCGTGTAGTGACTGTAACTGGTAGGTGTAGTAGCGAACCGTATTGGGTCTAGATTACTTCAGTGATAGAGCTGAGTGTCGTGAACCTAGGCTGGGAGCTAGTGGTCTTTGCTGTTGGATTGCTTGTCGTCTGTGAGCACTGACAGTGGGGTGACGGCTNAATTGGTGGTAAACTTCCACCTAACGAACTGCCCCTAGGCTTAGTCTGCCGTTCAGACAATCAGGGTAGCCGCTCATCCTTGCTCAAGGTTAATAAATATATTTGTGGGGTTGGGCCAGGTCAATTCAATCCCTGATCCGGCCGGTTACTGGGTCCACCACAAGAGGTGTCAGTTGCATTCGCCTCAGTAATTTGTCTGTTCGCACTGGCCTTTTTGCAGCGATTTGGCTATTAGCTATTGTCAACCTTTTATTGAAAAATGTCTCGCTTTGACCCACTGATCGACAATTATCGACCTGTCAGTGAGCTGCAGTTCATTGCTTATCTGGTTGAGCAAGCTGTTGTTATGAATTACATGCTCATTTAGAATTGTATATTTTGTATCCCAAGGCTCAGTCTGCGTATCATAAGCACCACAGTACTGAGACGGTTTTACCAAAGGTTAAAAATGATTTATTAAAAGGCCATGGATAAGACAACACGTCTTTTTCCTAGTTTTGCTCGATTTGAGTGCCACTTTTGATACCTTGGATCAAAACATTTTATTGAATACTCTTCAGTCTAAATTTGGGACTCATGATGGAACTGCTCCTAAATGGTACCGTTACAGTACAGTTCTTATTTGTCTGATAGATCCCAACGAGTTCCCGTAAATGGAATGCTCTCAG